GAGTAAGGCGCACTGGTCATGCTTCTAGCCCATCAGTACCAAAAGCTGTTTCTCCAGGTGTGTGTTTGCTTTGTCCCTGAATGAAGATAGGTCTCCCCTAGGCTGAGGTGTGTTTGGTGCTGTGCCTTTCTGGACTGCTCCTATAAGGGCTGAGACTTGGGAGTCCCCACTCCACCCTGGGTCTGAATATTACAATGCACTACGAGAAAGGAGGTCTGGGCTCTTAGCTTAAAATCACAGGACCTTTAACTGCCTAGGCCAGGACAAACAAACCACTGTGTGGGTAAAGAATCTTTTGTAACAGCCTGCTACCAGGAAGCGAGCACTGTCCTACTCAAATGGCTGTGACCAAACCAAACCAAACAGCTATGAAAGCATGGCTGGGTGGAATGCCATCTCTGGGTGTTCTTCATGCCTGTGTTAGTCCTGGAGTGGAGGAACCAGCAGGCTCCCATTTTCTGCCCTCCCTCTTCATCCATACTGGTTTATCCAGACATTTCGGGGAATGTTCTAGAAGTATCAGTGCACATAGTACTTGTAGAATACAACCTGAAAGGTCTTGTTCTAAGGACTCTCAGAGACAGACAGTGGAAATAAGTGAGACTGTGGCCACTCCTGAACAAGGAGCAAAAGCGGGGATGTGGGGATTCGGAGGGGTGTTCAGCATGGAGACCCCGGGAAGATGCTTAGCATGGAAGCACCCCAGTGAGGGACAGGTATGGTCGGAGGGTCCTCAGTGAGGTGTAGGTAGCTGAGACCTGGGTGGGGAGGGAGCAGCCAGTGGATGATGAGGAACACAGCAGTCCAGGTAAAAAGTAATAGGACATACACCAAGTCCCTGAGGCGGATTGAGTGACGGCAAGATGACAGAGGTGTCACTATGGTGATGAGGGAGGGCCGTGGGCACAGACTGTGAAGTACCGTAGGTGGGGTTTCGGGTATAGATTTTATTCCAGGTGTCATTAGCAGCCACAGGGAAATGGGGTGATGTAGCTGCATTTTAAGACATTCACCATGACAGGTGTGGGGATGATGGTGGAGAGAAACTGAGGCAGGCAGATCTGGAGATGTGTGAACCCTATACGTAGTCTAGTGATACCTCTGAGTTATAATCAGCCTTTAAAAGATTTTTAAATTTTGTTAAATACACTTAAATCGTACATCTTAGTGTCATTAAGAATGCTCACATTCTATTAAAATTTTATCTTATGTGTATGGGTATCTTGCCTGCATGTACATATGTGCACCACATGTGTGCCTGGTGCTCACAGGGCTAGACAGAGGTGTAGATTCCCCTAGAAGTGTGGCGTTATAGAAGGCTGTGAGCCACTGTGTTGATGCTGGGAACTGAATCCAGGTTCTCTGCAAAAGCAGCCACTGCTTTTAAACACAGACATCTGTCTAGCCCCATTACATTCTTCCTCGAATTAAAAACATTTTTTTGAGAGAGACTATGAATGGGAACGTGTGAGTATCCGGGCTTATACAGCTTTCACGTGGAGGTCAGGTCAACATGAGGAGTCAGCGCCTCCGGTATGCTGCATGGGTGCCTGGGGATCAAACGCAAGACATCAGGCTTCCGTGCTTCCAGTCTCAAACCTCTGTCTTCAGACTGTTTTCTTCCCTATCTGAAACCCTGCACCTGTCAAGTGCCCACTCCCCACTGCAGCCTCCCCCAGCCTAGCGAAGCACCTGTCCTGTGTCTGTCCGTGGAGTTCACTCCTCGGGGAACCTGGCGAGTGGGAGCCCTTTGCAGATGTTAGTGCGGAAGGTGGCACCAGTGCAGTTAGCACGTTCCAGGTTTGGCCTCAGGTTCTCCAGAGGACCGAATGAAGCCTCGAGCCTGGCTGTGACCCTCCACCCCCAAGTGCCTTGTGACTTGGGGCGTTGCTGGGAGAAGCTGGCCTCCCCCATTACAGTTGTGCTCCTGAGCATAGACTTGACATCACTCTATCTCATTTTCCTCATCTGGGAAATGGGTACAGGGCCAGTGCTGTTGAACCCCAGGTAACCAAAATACCTAGATCCAGAACGGTGATGTTTCTTCCCTGTGAGGTCAGGTCACATGACTAATGGTCCCTCTCAGAAATAACCGTGGCTTCTGGTGCCCAGAGGAGAAGCATTAGGATGCTGGAGTTGCCGTGGGTGCTCCCTTCTGCCGTAATGGCTCCTTGCTATTGTTGTGCCTTTGTGGGGACAAGGTGGCTTCTCGGCTTTATCACTTGACAGCAACCTCTCAGTGATCTCTGGCTGACCATTTCCCAGAACCAAGTGGGAAGGGGGTCCAGTTCCCTGCCTGGCTTCTGCCTCCCTTCTGGTTGGGGCTCCTGCCTATGCTGAGCTCTCTTAGGGAGCAAGAGAGGGTCTTTCATAGAAAGAGGCCTATGCCCAAGAAAACCAAGTCAGGGCTTATGGTCAGGCTTACGGGGGGCCATGTGGTAGGGTGGGTGAGGATCCCTGTGCTCCAGACAGCCAAGAGTCTAAGATACGCTGGGAAATTGTCCAGTTTGCAGTGTTTCTCAGGTTTGAGGTACACCCATGAGGCAAAGAGGAACCACTTGGGTAGAGCCATTCATTGATGTCCTGTGTCTAGGAGCCACCGGTTTCCCTGCGTGTCCTGGGCATCCCAGTGGTCAGTCCCTTATATACCTGTCTCCTGATTCTTGGCTAGAGGTTTATGTGCTTAGGTTCACAACTGAAGTCATCTTTTCATTTGGTTTCGGAATTCCAGGTGTGTTTCCAGCACTGGAAGAGATTCAGTGTCTGTCATCGTGTGACCTTCTGTTTCCTGAGGGAGAAGGAGTTTATTGTGGCTCCCAGTTTGAGGGACTCTCAGTCCATCACAGTGGGGAAGGCATGATGAACAGGAGGCGCCAGCGTTGGCTAGTAAGCAGGAGGTGGCTGGTCACGTAGCATCTGCGGTCAGCAAGTAGAGACGAAAGCTGGTGTTCAGCTTGCTCCTCCCTCTGGTGCCTTCTGTTTTTAGGGTGAACCTTCCCTCCTGAGTTAATCTGATCTAGGTAATCCTTCTCACACATACCATGCCTGACTCCCACGATTGTAGGTAATATCAAGTTGACATTATAACGACCACAAGTTCACCCCCATCAATCTGACACCCCAAACATCACTTTAAACCCAGAACCTTTGACTCCTGTCCCCCCACAGGCAAAAATGCATTCAGCCCAACTTCAAAAGTCCCCATAGTCTTGGACAACTCCAACACGGTGTGAAAATGGAAGTGTAGAGTCTCTTTTGAGACTCAGGTAATCCCTTGACTCTAACAGGAGGTTAGAGTTAAACTAACCTGCATGGCATCCTAGAGCCTCCTTGTAGGGATTCCAGCTCTGCCACATGTTCCCTGACCTCAGACACTTTCTGGAGCCATGGCTTAAATCTCTGTGACCTCTTCTCTCTTGCTCCTGTCATACCCATTTGTGGGACAATGGTCTTCTACCCTGTAAAGATTTGTTACCTGTATTTTAATAAAATGCTGATTGGCCAGTAGCCAGGTAGGAAGTAGTATAGGTGGGGCAACAAGAACAGGAGAATTCTGGGAAAAGGAAAGAGTCAGTCTGCAGTCGTAACCCAGACACAGAGGAAGCAAGATGAGAATACCTCACTGATAAAGGTACCAAACCACATAGTTAACATAGACAAAAATAATGGGATAACATAAGTTATAAGAGTTAATGAGAAGCCTGAGCTAGGGGCTGGGGAGATGGCTCAGAGGTTATGATCACTGGTTGCTCTTTCAGAGGCCCTGAGTTCAATTCCCAGCAACCACATGGTGGCTCACAACCATTTGTAATGAGAACTGGTGCCCACTTTTGGCATGTAGGTGGAACATTGTAATAAATCTTAAATAAAAAAAAAGAAAAATGTTGGGGCTGGAGAGATGGCTCGGTGGTTAAGAGCATTGCCTGCTCTTCCAAAGGTCCTGAGTTCAATTCCCAGCAACCACATGGTGGCTCACAACCATCTGTAATGAGGTCTGGTGCCCTCTTCTGGCCTTCAGGCCCACACAGAATATTGTATACATAATAAATAAATAAATAAATAAATTTTTTTTTAAAAAAAAGAAAAAAATGTTTAAAAAAGAAGAAGAAGAAGCCTGAGCTAATAGGCCAACCAGTTTATGATTAATGTAGATCTCTTTGTGTTTCTTTGGAACTGAATGGCTACGGTGACCAGGCAGGACAGAAACCTCTGTCAACACCCATAAAAACCAGCACCTTGTAGACAATGTTACAAAGGTCTGCTTCCAGTGTGGGATTGAATTTGGCTCCCTTGGACCATAGTTGCATTGGTCTTTCTGTGCTGATGAGTCCAAAGGGAAGCGTCCATCAGTGGGGATGGGGAAAGGTGGTCCTATTGCATTGGCAGCTATGAAATAGTTATAGATGAAGCTTTTAGTATCCTTGTAAGGCAGTGTTTATCCAGCATTCCTGCGTGTTGGCCATGTAAAGATACAAATAGATAAGGCGAAGATAAATTAAGCCATGACGTGGCACACTGAGTAGAGCTGTCCCCTGGTGGCACCAGTGTTGACCTGCTGGTGGGGTTGGAGCCGAAATGGTTGGAATAATGGGAAGACTTGTGGTGAGTAGAGGGGAGGTTGGGGCAGGGTGAGCTGTCCATGTTGTTGGAGGGGGATTGAGTGGATCCAGTCAGGATCCCAGATCTCACATGGCTGGAGTAAATATGTGAACTGGGGAGTCCTGGGTGTTAAGGGGCTGAATCATCATGGTCCCTGGAGTACCCTGTTCTGTGGTTTTGGACCACTGTTTCTATAAGAAAAGGGCACACTGGGAGCTGTAATGATTTGGGATGGTGTGTGGGGGCAGTAGTATCGAGGTCAAGGTGGGGAGTGAGAATGGGGGTACCCAGCCTGGCTTCTCCCTTGCTAAGCGCATCTAAGGCTGTTCTTGGTGTGGGGTTGTAGGACCCTTTGCTGTCTTGGGCATCCTAATGACCCCAGATCTCCTTGTGTCCCACAGATGGCATCCACAGTGTCACGGCTCTCTGCACTTTGCGTGTAACCATCATCACAGATGACATGTTGACCAACAGCATCACCGTCCGCCTAGAGAACATGTCACAGGAGAAGTTCCTGTCCCCGCTGCTATCCCTCTTTGTCGAAGGCGTGGCCACAGTACTGTCCACCACCAAGGATGACATCTTCGTCTTCAACATCCAGAATGACACAGACGTCAGCTCCAACATCCTGAACGTGACCTTCTCGGCGCTGCTTCCTGGTGGCGCTCGTGGCCGCTTCTTCCCATCCGAGGACCTGCAAGAGCAGATATACCTAAACCGGACACTGTTGACCACCATCTCTGCCCAGCGCGTGCTGCCCTTTGATGACAACATCTGCCTGCGGGAGCCCTGTGAGAACTACATGAAGTGTGTGTCCGTGCTCAGGTTCGACAGCTCGGCGCCCTTCATCAGCTCTACCACGGTGCTCTTCCGACCCATCCATCCCATCACTGGCCTGCGCTGCCGCTGCCCCCCAGGCTTCACCGGGGACTACTGCGAGACTGAAATTGACCTTTGCTACTCCAGCCCATGTGGAGCCAACGGCCGGTGCCGGAGCCGAGAGGGTGGCTACACTTGCGAGTGCTTTGAGGACTTTACTGGTGAGTGTCTGGAGCGTGGGGACAGGCTGTACTTTGCACAGAGGCTCACAGTGCACATGTGGTGTGAGGGTTTCCTGTGAGTCCCAAGAGGCATGATGTTAGAAGACAGGTTCTGGGCACAAGTGTCATCTCTGTGCATTTTAAAGTGGCCTTGGGTGGCAGTTTCCTTAGCTAGCAAGGGAAGCTGCTTGCTGCCAACCTCCCAGGCCTCATTCATCTTCCCTAGGGGGCTTCTGTCACCCTCTTCATGAAGACTTTAGGAGGGGAGGCTCTAGGTGAGACCTGCTGTTGCCACCCAAATGCATCAGATACCATGTATGCATCCAAGTCAGTTCTGTTGTTTTGAGACATGGTCTGGCTCCAAAGCCGAGCTTCTCTTTGAAATCATGGCAATCCACCAACCTCAGCTAGTTGTGAGTGGCTTTAAAGTTAAAGCCCCTTTATTCTAGATTTCCAGTTTAACTGGCTAGTACAAAACTGTGCAGCCAGGGTAGAAACTGTGAACCTTTAACCGCCTGGGTCCTGAAAGAAGTTAGCAGTTTTAGTCATGCCTCGTTGCTGCAAAGACTGGTTCACCTTCCTCCGCCTCTCAAGATGCTCTTAACGCAGCATGTCCTGACCAGTCTTGAAGACCAGCCTCTCCAATTGCAGTCAACGGTTGTTTTAACAGTAAAGAGGCAGCCATGGAGAGCGGTTTAAAATGACATTGCACACCCACAGATCTTGCTCTGGTCTTTGGTCTCCTGTAATGTTCAGTTACATCCCATTGGGAAAGCCAGTTCCCATAGGCTCGATGGTGAACAGATCATCTTTCTGGAAGGCTCTCTGGGGACTAGGTGGAACTTGATTTGCACTGGAAGTGACTTGGAGATTCTTCTATCTGTAATTAAGGACTTTAGTATGGACACCTGAGGGTCCTCTAGTGTGGGAATCTTATCTGCATATAGCACACATTTATTGCCCTGTAGGTTTTAGCGGTGCATGTGGAGCAGGAAGAGAGAGAGATCTAGGTAATGAGAATAGAGAGGGAAAAGTGAGTGTCTGTGGTTTTGTGCATCTGAAGAGGAAGGGACGTCGCTTGGAGAACTTCACAGCGCATACGCTGAGCTGCCAGGTTGGCCCATCGGCATCTCAAGTTGGTTATTGTCTGGGAACGTGGAGGAGGGAGAAGGACATTTGGCTGCCCACCCCTGTTCTGTTCCCCTCCCTGTCTGTGGCTGACTGCCAACAGGATGTGGGCAGTTCTTCCTGCTGTCTGGCATGTGCTGATCCCAGATTCCTGCCTCTCAGGTGCCTGGTAGTGAGCAGGAAGGAAGGCAGAGGCCTAGGAGATTCTCTAATTGTCAGTGTGTACCTCAAGTGTTGGGGAAAATGTGTGTGTGTACATGCGTGCATGTTTGGAGGCGGGGGCTCCCGTCCTCTGCCTCTCCTCCCTACAGCCAAGCCTATTTGTCTGTACTACCAACAGGACACAGGGTGGTCGTACCCTTCCTACCCCTGACCCCAGGCTTCAGTAGTCATCTCTTTGGAAGTCTTATGAGACCCAACTTGCTGCATGGTCAGCTCCCTCCTGACAGAGAAGCATGAGGGTGAGGGGGCTCATTCCCCAGTCCCTCCCTGTCCTCTGGCCCTGTGTGGAATGATTTGTAAACTCTCAGACAGAGAAGCTGAGGCCACCGTTGTAGGCAAGATTGGTGCCCTCCAGGGAGTAAACACCGCCCTTCTTCGTCATGCCCATTCTTGCCACAGACATTTACTGCACCGAGCACCTGCTACAGATATTCTCAGAGTGCTTGCTGTCTGCCAGAGCAGTGTTCAGTCGGACTTTACCCTATCTCTGTGGGCGAGCACTCAGTCACTTGATGCGTTCTCTTTCCTTGATATTTAGGACCTTCCCTTCCCGCCTTTCGTCATCTGCAGGGTGACATATAATAGCTTCCACTCCAGGCTTCATCCCAGGGCTACCATTAGTTGACCTGTTAGAGGTCCTCAGGGGATGATATGACGGTGCTGGGGCAGATAAGTAAGGCCGCGGTGGCTCTGTGGACCCTCAGATTCCCTGCAATGATGGCTGAGCCCCTGGAAGCAGCCAACTGACTTCGGAAGCTCTTGGGTTTCCTCTTCATCAGCAAAGTCATTTCTAGAAGGACGATAAAGGGGCAGTGGCCACATCCATCATCTCTGAGATGTGGTGATTGACATGAGATTAATTTGATTCTCTTTGGGTACTGGAAAACATCATGCTATTTCCCTTGAGATAAAACTAATTAAGAACGATTACGTCTCCTCGATTCTCTTCCTTCCCTCTCCTCCGTTTTTGCCTTTGAAGCACTCTCTTTTCTGCATGGAGGTAATTGTGCTCATTTCTTCACGATGAAAGCAACGCTGTCGTCACGCGGCTTTAATTTCTTGCTCTCCGGTAAGCTGAGCTGGAGCTCTAGGCCTCTTCATGGTGAGGTTGGAATTGGCCCAACTGTGCTGGGAGCCCTTGACTTCCTGTGTCGTGGGACAGGAGGCTCGGCAGCAGGAGCTGGCAGAAGGAAGGCATCAATTAATTTCAGGAAAAGTTCTCTGAATTCGCCAGGGAGTGTATTTCAGATAGCTCTCCTGAATCTCTGAAACCATCCTGGCTTTAGAGGTGTGCCCAGCCCAGGGCACCTGCATCCCGTGGTGTTTGTAAGGGGAAGGGAGCTGCTGGCCCCTTATGGTGTGTCCCTGAAGATACAGCTCTGCATTGCCACCATGGTTGGGTTCATCTACTACCTCATAGTTGGGAAAGAATGAGACAAGAAGACTTCAGACGTGGGCTCTGGATGCATAGTAGGTAGTCCCTTAATTTCTCAGTCCCAACTGGTGAGATGGCCCGGTGGGTAAAGGCACTTGCTGCCAAATCTAAGGACCGGAATTTGATCTCTTGTGGAAGGGATGAACCAAATCCTACAAGTTTTCCTCTGACCTCCACACCTGCTCCGCAATAAATAAATACAGATAATTTCTCAAGTCTGTAAACAATTACAAGCTTGTTTCCTTCCACGCTTGGCCTCTCAGTCTTCATTTGAGGGGCACTGTGTTTTGGGTTTTGCTAAACCATGAGCTACCATGCTGACCCTCATCTCCCAGCTTCCTCATCTGCTGACTTCCTGTCCGTCTACATTTACCCTTCATATGCCCCCTGAATCTGCTGTCCCCTGCCCTCGGAAGGTTCTGGAAGGTTTTCTTGCACTTTCTCATTAGAAACCTTTTGGTTTCTTCCTTAAACGTCACATGCATCCTCTTTATTTGCTGCTCCACTGTCCCATAAGGTAGACTCCCTCATCTTCATGTCTGTCCCCAGCCAGCAATGACTTGGAGCTCATTCGTAGCAAGCACTTCATATTCTTTGGTAGAAAGCTGTTTCCTGTTCTGAGGGCTGTGGCCCTAAAACTCCAAAGGCCCCTTCCTTGCTTTCCACACCCCGGTTTTGCTGGCCTTCTGGTACCTGCTGGCCTCTCTTACCACAGCCCCTTGTATCTCAAGTGGAAACCTCTTGCCCATCCCTATCACCAGGTAGGCGCTTCCTACCCCTATGTGTCCGCTTAGTAACCTCCCCACAACTGTGTACGATCTATGGGGACAGAGACACATGCGGATAGGACCCTGTAGGGAGAGCTCCCTCTCCTCCACAAGGCCCTTGCACCTGCCATTTGTCATATGCTGTGGTCAGAGTGACACCTTTGCTGCTTTTGGTCCTTAGTGGGAAGAGACAGGATCCTGTCTGTCCCGTGTCCCTTCCCAGTCATTAAGATTTTTACCTTTGGGTTTCAGGCCTATGATCAAGCTCCAAATTGAGTTGGGACCCACTACTGCAGGCTCCTGGGCATTTCTAGGATGTCTCCCCCTCTCATCTCTCCCTCTCCCTCTTCTCCCTCTCTCCTTTCTTTAGGGAGACCTGGGAATAGCTACCTAATCATCACAGATCAACACCTCCCCTGAGGTACATTCCTGAATGACAGCTTTGATGTCAGCAGGAGAGATAGTTCAGCTGAGTCCAAGTCTAGGAGGGGCGAGGTGGTTGCTATCCCAACTAAAGCTAGCCTTGGGTGTCCTTCCCAGAGGTGTTCATGGGTGAAACTTCTTTGTTAGGGTCAAGTTCATTCTTGACCCCTAATTTGATCCCCATTCTTAGAATGCCCCCATTCCCACTTCTTGTCCTCAATCAGCATGTTTCAGCAAATCCAAGCAAATAGTGCTTGCACAGCTGCGGAGCACAAAACCACAGCCCTGGGCTATGAGCTTGCCTCTGTCCCCCATAGTAATAGTAGTGTGTAGAACTTGGGGAACCCTCAGTGGCACCCACTTTGAACTTTGTAAAAGCTCCCCCAGCACCTTCCCACTTGCTTTACGAGCCTCTCCAGACTGTGGAACCCTCCAAGGCCTCCTGAAGCTGAGGACGTCTTATGTAGGTTCAGAGCCTGAAATACTTGACGCAAGAGCCCAGCCACCTGTCTGCTTGTGGGAACAACCTTAAAGTCGATGCTAGCCCTCCTCTGCCCTTGTTATAAATATAGATATTATCCAGCTCCACTGCTGTTTGAGGTAGAGTGCTGGTGTCCTGTCATCGTGGAGTACACTAACATACCAGGTGCCACCATCAAACAATTCCATGCTGTGTTGTTCCTGAGCTGTGTCCTGGTCCTGCAGGGCCACCTCCTTGAGCACAGGAAGGAAGGCGCCCAGTGAACTGAAATCTACAGGATATACCTCATCTGCACGGGGAGTGGATCCCAACACTCTGACATTAGTCCCTAATGTGGGGGATAATTATCAGTTAAAGCGAGAATCATTTCACTGCCTGTAATTAAAATCTCAGCTAGAGCAGCGAACCCTTTCAGACTCTGGGAGAAGAGGTTATGTTTTCTTGTTTTCTTCTCGTCATGGGCGCACCTACCTGTTGCTCTGGCTCTTTCCACAGCGTGGGTTGCAACACACCACCTTTCTCTCCGGTGCTGTCCTGAAGCTGG